AGGCAAGTAAGGACTCGACAGATTCTTATGAGTAATATCAACCCTGTCAATCAACAATCCAGATAAATAAATCAGTTATCTTAAGCCAAGAACGCAACACAATTGTTATCTAGCCCGTGACCCTGGAATATTCTCTCCTACTAATTGCTATTTGAAATTGCTATTTGTTCGGTTGCTTTCTAGTTAATTCATTGCTTGATAGTTTTAGGTAGTAAATTAGTTACGTCTTTATTTTGTGAAAAATCTCTTGGATCGATAAGTTAATTGACTTTGAATCAGTCAATAGTTAATCACAAGTCTTTGTGGGAACGATACTCTACTCACTACTTTATTACTTGACGATCACGTGCACTTGCGTGAGTATTTTTGGTCGCAACAAGATTTTGGCGCCGTTGTCGGGGACTTAGAAATTAGCTACTTGACTGAATTGAGCTTTTATTAGTTATTTATTCAAGTTTTAATTTTCAGTTTACCTTGTTTGTGTTAACACATGCTCTTCTCTTGAATGTGGAGGAGTAGAAGCGCAAACAATCTCCTTCCTCTTGATCCTGAAATTAAACGAACACTTCACAGAGTGAGGAGGGAAGTAGAAGCTAGAACAAGAATAGAAGGAGAGTTGGACATCGTAGTTCAACCACAGCCAATAGAGATGGCAGGTAACAAAGAGCGTGCGGTGATTGAAGCCGCAAGGCCTAGTCTTGCTAATATGACTCAGGCTATTGTGAAGCCTGATATCACAGGGCATTTTGAACTCAAACAGTACATGGTACAGCTGATTCAGTCCACAGGGCAATATGTGGGTCTATCTCATGAAGACCCGTAGAGGCACATTCAGAATTTCTTGGAAATTACGGACACTTACAATTATCCGAACGTTTCCAAGGACTATGTCAGGCTGACACTTTTTCCCTTTTCACTGCTCAGGAAAGCTAAGGAATGGTTGCAAAAGGAATCCGCGAACTCAATCCGTACTTGGGATGATCTAGCAAGGAAATTCTTAATCATGTTTTTCCCTACTAAGAAGACAAAGTCATTGAGGAGTTAGATTCTTGGGTTCGAACAACGGGATGGCGAGACACTTCGTCAAGCATGGGAAAGATACAAGAAGCTACTCAGAGACTGTCCACATCATTGTCAGACGGATGAGGTATTGGGTCACACTTTTGTTGATGGGCTACACGATGCATCAAAGATGAATCTTGATTCAGCTTGTGGGGGTAGTTGCATGGCTAGACCGTATAGTGAAATCCAACTCTTGCTAAATAACTTCACTGCTAATGATCATAATTGGCAAGGTGATGGTGATTCACGAAGGCAATTAAACAGAAAGCAGCCGGGTTGATTGAGCTTGATGACTTTTCAGCCATGAGAGCCGATATAGAAAAATTGGCAAATTAGATGAATAAAATGACAATGCAACAAACACAGTCGATGCAACATGTACAACAAATGTCTATCTGCTGTGAACTATGTGGCGACAATCATATGAGTGACATGTGCCCTACAAATCCTGAATCCGTATACTGTGTGGGGCAACAGAGCAGAGGTCCAATGAATCAGCATGCACAATATAGGAACACTTACAATCCAAATTGGAAGAATCATCCCAACTTCTTATGGGGTGGAAATCAGCAGAATCAGAATCATTATAGACCCCAAGGAAATTTCAATCAACCTAAGAAGCCGCCCCAACAAATGGAAGAGAGTACAAATGATTTGCTAAAGAAGTTGTTGCTTGACAATCAACAGCTCAGGACCGATTTTAGAAATCTTGAGAGGCAAATGGGGCAGTTAGCAACAAATCAAAATACTAGACCTGCAGGCGCTCTCCCCAGTGATACAGAGAAGAACCCTCAAGTTAATGCAGTTACACTCAGAAACGGGAGGGAACTAGAGGAAGTGCCAAAGAAGAGAAAAGACAAGCCTATACCTAAGGGGGAGTTGATTCCTAAGGCGACACATGAATCGAAGAAAAATGATGCAACTTCAGAGCCAATGGAGACTGCAAGGCCACCACCACCTTTCCCTCAGAGATTGCAGAAAAAGAATGATGATCGCATGTTCAGCAAATTTCTCTCTATGTTGAGCCAGGTTCAATTAAATATTCCGCTGGTGGATGTACTTCGTGAAATTCCAATGTATGCTAAGTACATAAAAGATATAGTGGCTCACAAGAGAAGATTGACTGAATCTGAGACAATTGCACTTACTGAGGAGTGCACTTCAAGGGTCCAAAACAAGCTCCCTCAAAAGCTTAAGGACCCTGGCAGCTTCACCATCCCTGTGCGAATTGGTAATATTGATGTGGGCCGTGCTCTTTGCGATTTGGGGGCGAGCATAAATCTGATGCCCTTATCCTTGTTCAAGCAATTGGGTTTGGGAGCTCCAAGACCAACTACTGTGATGTTGCAGCTGGCTGATAGGTCTATAGCACACCCTGAGGGAGTGATTGAAGATGTATTGCTACAAATTGGGAAGTTCATATTCCTTGCGGACTTTATTATATTAGATTATGAGGCTGATGAACTGGTTCCAATCATATTGGGGCGACCTCTCTTGGCTACATGTGATGCAATTATTAAAGTGCGAGAGGGAAAAATGATTTTGAGAGTGGATGACGAGGAAGCAGTATTTAATGTCTACAAAGCAATCAAACTTCCCAGCCACTATGAGGAGCTCTCAATGATATCTGTTGTGGAGGTGGACGAGCAACTTCTTAACACGAGTGTATATCTAGACGATTCTCTAGAGAAAGCACTTATGTTGTTCGATAGCTTGGAGATTAATGAGGAGGTTGAGGAGATGATGCATATCCTAGATGCATCATGTGCTTACATGCAGGGGACACACCCCTTTGAGCCCCTAAATAGGCCAAGTGGACCTCTTCCAAAGCCGTCAATTGAGGAAGCTCCAAAATTGGAGCTCAAACCCCTACCTCCTCACCTTCAAAATGCTTATCTGGGCAGTTCTGACACTTTACCTATTATTGTTTCATCTGACTTGTCTAAATTGCAGGAAGAAAAGTTGTTAAGAGTGCTACGTGAGCACAAGCGAGCAATTGGGTGGACGATGTCTGACAGTGGAGGCATTAGTCGAGCTTTCTGCATGCATAAAATTCTCATGGAGGACGGACACAAGCCAAGTGTAAAGCAACAACGGTGATTAAATCAATCATGAGAGAAGTGGTAAGAAAAGAAGTGATTAAGTGGCTTGATGCAGGTATTGTATTTCCAATCTCTAATAGCAAATGGGTAAGCCCCGTCCAATGTGTACCTAAGAAAGGGGGGATGACTGTAGTGGTTAATGAAAATAATGACTTGATTCCCACAAGAACTGTCACTGGGTGGAGAATTTGCATAGATTATAGAAAATTGAACAATGCCACCCGCAAGGACCACTTTCCCCTCCCCTTTGTTGACCAAATGCTTGATCGAATAGCTGGCCAGGAATACTACTGTTTCTTATATGGTTATTTGGGGTATAATCAGATTGCTATAGCCCCATAGGATTAAGAGAAAACCACATTTACGTGTCCCTATGGCACGTATGCGTTCAAAACAATGCCCTTTGGTCTCTGTAATGCACCTGCGACGTTTCAAAGGTGCATGATGGCTATTTTTACTGACATGGTTGAAATATTTGTGGAAGTGTTCATGGATGATTTTTCTGTGTTTGGATGTTCTTTTGATAATTGCTTGAAGAATCTTGATAAAGTGCTTGCTAGGTGTGAAGAGACGAACTTGGTACTAAACTGGGAAAAGTGCCATTTCATGGTACGTGAAGGTATAGTCCTGGGGCACAAAGTGTCCAAAAGCGGTTTGCAGGTGGACAAAGCGAAGGTGCAGGCGATTGAAAAACTGCCCCCACCGACATCAGCCAAGGGAATTTGCAGTTTCTTGGGCCATACAGGTTTTTATCATTGTTTCATTAAAGATTTTTCGAAAATTTCTTCTCCCTTGTGCAGGTTACTTGAGAAAGATGTCTCTTCAAATTTGATGATGCCTGTCTGAAAGCATTTGAGGAGCTGAAGGGAAGGTTAGTGACTGCACCAACCAATTATCACTGCTCCGGATTGAGAGCAGCAATTTGAGTTGATGTGCGATGCGAGTGACATAGATATTGGAGCTGTTTTGGGGCAAAGGAGAAATAAAATCTTTCACTCCATCTACTATGCGAGCAAAACTCTGAATCCAGCCCAGATGAACTACACCGTCACTGAAAAAGAGTTGCTTGCAATGGTGTGGGTGTTTGACAAGTTCAGATCCTATCTAGTGGGTAGCAAAGTCATCGTCTACACAGATCATTCACCTATCAGATACTTGTTTGAGAAGAAAGATGCCAAGCCGAGGCTGATTCATTGGGTCCTCCTCTTGCAAGAGTTTGACTTAGAGATCCGAGATCAAAAAGGGACAGAGAATCAAGTGGCTGATCACTTATCCAGATTAGAAAATCGGAGCCATGTAGATGAAGAAAGGTCAATCAAAGAAACATTTCCTGATGAGCAGTTATTGGAAATTACCTCAAGCGAAGCCCCGTGGTATGCAGATTATGTGAATTTTATTGCAAGTGGGGTGACACCACCAGAATTGACACCCGATAATAGAAGAAGGTTCTTAAATGATGTGAGGCTCTACATGTGGGATGAGCCATTCTTATACAGGCTATGTGCAGATCACTTGGTGCGAAGATGTGTTCCTGAGGAAGAGATGAATACAATACTGCATGACTGTCACGCTTCGCCATAGGGAGGTCATCATGGTGGGGATAGAACCGCCCAAAAAGTTCTACAATCAGGTTTCTATTGGCCAAAATTATTTAAGGATGCACATGCCTTTGTTAAAAAGGACTGGGTCGGGAAGCTAGACGACACATTATGGGCATATCGAACTGCATACAAGACTCCCATAGGTACTTCTCCGTATAAATTAGTTTATGGGAAGGCATGTCACTTGCTCGTTGAGCTTGAACACAAAGCCTATTGGGCAATTAAAAAGCTGAATATGGATATGGACTTAGCTGGTGAGAAGAGGTTGCTGCAACTCAACGAGCTTGATGAGTTTCGATTTCACGCATATGAAAATGCCAAATTGTATAAGGAAAAGAATAAGAGGTGGCATGACAAACACATCCAACATCGAGAGTTTGAGCCGGGGCAAGAAGTTCTATTATTCAATTCGAGGTTGAAGCTTTTCCCCGGAAAGCTTAAGTCTCGTTGGGCAGGTCCTTTTGTTGTGGTAAGTGTGAGGCCTCATGGAGCTGTGGAATTGCGTGATACGAGCTCGAGTGGTACCTTCTTGGTTAATGGCCATAGAATAAAACATAATTGGGGTGGTGACATTGCACGTCACAAGACCTCGGTGGACTTGACCGATGCTTAAAAAGGTGTTGAGTCGTGCCGCGACGTTAAATCAGGCACTCGTTGGGAGGCAACCCAATTTTTACTGTTTTCGTAGCGTAGTTTTTTTGTTTTCTCTTAGTTAAAGTAGACTAACATTTTTGTTTTGTTGTTGTTGTATAAAATATTAGGTGGAGATGGTAGAGTGTGTGTGAATTATGTATTGAGGGCTCGGGTAGTTTACTTTAAAAAAATCAAAAATAAAAAAAAATTCATCGATTTCAGCGCCCAGCCCAACGCCCCACGCTGGCTGGGGCGCACTTTACAGTGGCAATTTAATTCCATCGCCAGCCCCAGCGTGGGGCGTTAGGCTGGCCGGTCCAGGTAATGTTTTAATTTTTTTTTCTTTTTTTTCGTTTTCTTTTATTTAATTAAGTCCCAAACCCAAATAACCCAACCCAATTACCCATATACACTCACAACCTAACCCATACCCAACTACCCAAACCCATTCTCACTTAGATTAAAATAACTAAAACCTCAAAACAACCCCCCCCCCCTCAAAAATGCCCAGCGTTCTGCCCGTACCTTCCCCTTCGATTTTTCGATTTATTTTTTGTTCTCTCAAGTTCTCCAATTCTTCAACTTTCTCTTGTTCAAGTTACTCTCAAGCCTCAAAGGTATGTTCCCCTTGTTCTCTTTTCTTGTAATTTGAATTTTTTTTTAGTGTAAGTTTAGTCTTCTTTCTCAAACAACCCCAAAATCCCATAGTTTGCATTGATATATCTTGTTGAATATGGTGGTCTTAAGATGCATGAAAATTTGGTGCAAGAATTTGGTTGTGAATGTGCTTGAAGTAGTAAACTATAATTCCCTCTACTTCATGTAAATTTGGGAGGTCCACCTCGTTCCACCATTGTTGAAATAAGAGAGCAAAATTGATGCCCACAAGGTGTTTGCTACAATGCCTAAGAGAGTAAATTTGAACACCGGTGAAGCCTAAGTAGTCGAGTGTAGTTGTATTTGAGTTTGGGCGAAGTGTGGGGTCTTTGGAGGTATTGTACGTTGTTGTAAACGTTAGTAAGTCATAGTTAGTGTATTAAATTGGTGTAGTAATGTAGATTTTAGTTCTTTTATGCTTGCACCATAGTTAAGTTACGGGCATATTAAACCACTTGAATTGCATGGCATAGGAAAGTCTTGAGTACCTATAGTCTTGTGATGACACATTGATGCATGTTGAGTCAATATTGTGATTCGATTATGCATAGCCTTCGGTTTTAAGTGTGGGGTCCTCTTTGCCCCTCAAATGACCTTAGGCAAAATTTCTTGATTCACTCTCATCTTTGTGTTTGTCATGTGTAAGTTTCTATGGCTCGTGACTGTGCCGCTAAAGGAAAAGGGGTGGGGAAGTCCTCCACTACCGCTCCTCCTCCAAAGAAATGCAAGCAATGTGAGAGCTCTTCCCGATAAGCCAAGGGAAAGCAAGTGGCTAGCGGGTCTACGAAGCAATCATAGCCTCGGTTGGAATTTTTAGATGATGACACCAAGAAATGGCATGATACTTTTGTTCCATACGGGAGATATGTGTCTGAGATGGGGATAAATGTAAAGGCATTAGAATGAAGCTTCCCCGATGTACTTGCTAAAATTGATCGACAAAAAGATGGGTAAGTTCCTTGAATGTCCGGGTCTGGCAAATCTCAGCATGGTCCGAGAACTATATGCAAACTGGAGCACGAGAGATGATGAGTCGTGCGTCAGGGGAAAGACCATTCCAATGCATAGGGAGGCTTTGTGTCATTTTTTGGGAGTTGATAACCCGAACCCGCGAAGGCTTATAAAGTTTGTCAATAGCCCACGCTATCAAGCAATACGTCACACACTTTGTGGCGTTGATTCCAACGCAACATGGACGCGGACTAAGGGGGATGTTCACCTTGAAATGCTTAAGTTTGACTTCAACAAGACGGCTAAAGTTTGGCGAACTTTGTGCAAGCTAGACTAATGCCTGTGGAGCATAATAGTGAGTGCACTCGAGCTCGAGTGTGCTTAATCTACTTTTTGATGACCGAGCGCCCCATAAATGTAGGTGAGCTCATGCTTGGGGAGATGGCTCGAACCCGTTTTGGAGGGAGGATCAAGAGGTTCTTTTATGGCAACATCCTAACACAGTACATGCTATCCTTTGAAGTACCGGAATACCCAGGCTATGATGAGGTGGTGGAGGCACCCAAGACATTACTAGACATCACATCCTTATTAGAGTCCACATCAAAGAACACCCAAGCTGCTCGAAATGAGAGGGATGAAAATTTTAACAGGTATCTCTACAAAACCGTCAATGTCATTATGCGCAGGCTAGGGGTGTCAGAGGAGGAGCACACACAATTGCGAAATGAGCTCTCCAGTTCGTCCAAGGAGATGTTGGGCATAGCACCGGGTGGTCCTATTCATCCTTCTGAGGATGAGAACACTCACAAGGGATCGGATGATGAGGATGTGGATGGGGATAAAGTTACAGGGCCCATGGCTTTGGTACCCTTTGGAGATGATGATGAGCCCATTGCTACAGCTGGTGGGCATCCTGAGAGGGCAGTCTCCGACTAGCAGGGAGTTCTTTCTTTCAACATTACTCTATTTTTGAATTTATTATGTATCAAGGACTATGCATTGTTTAAGTGTGGGGTGAGGGAATACTCTTTGAGTTGTAATTGTATAATTGTATAAACGGTGGAAAAAAATCAGGAAACGTTTGTACTTTTCCCGACGATGGATCTGTTGGACAATTTTCTTGAGGGATTAAAGTCCGATTAAAAATGCCAAAAAGATTTTCTTTTTTTTTTAGGTAGTTAGGTAGTATCCCTTGGTTTTTCTTTCGACACAGGTTCTTTTCCAAGGGTGTAGCTCGAACCGGGTATTCTAGTTTAGTTTTTTTTATTATTATTTTTTTCTTTCTTAGGAGTAGGAAAGGGGAGAGTGGGGTGCTTTGAGATACCTATTGACATGGTTGATGTTGGCAATTTAAGTTATGGCATGCGCTTCTGTCTTTCTGCATATATTATTTAAATTGTAATGCCCAAGTAAAGTAAGCAGCATACTCTTTGATCCGTTTTTCTCAGTTGATTGACTTGTATGCTACCTAGTGCATTGTTGCTTAAAAATTCTCAACTTGCTAGCTTGCTTGACTTGAGAGTTGCATAGAACCGTCTTGAGTGAGTCATGTACCATGTGTGTGTAAGGATTTTTGATACTCTGTGCTATCCTGTGTAGTTTTCCCCGTGTGTTAATCAACGCGAAATCATTAAGTTATGCTAATCTAGGAGATGATGTAGGCGTTTCTTTCTTGACCATGAAGGTTCTTGTCACTTATAAATAAAATTTTCCCATTGCTAGCCCTTTGAGCCTATAGACCGTTTTCTTGGCACTCACATTACAAGCCATGCTCCTACTTTGTTCTTGATTTGAGAATGTTGAACCTTTACCTCCTAAGGCACTTAGTCGCTAAAAGAAGTAAGGGGAGAGATTTGGGAGTTACTTTCGAGTGGAGCCATGGAAGGGCCCTTAAGGTGCACTAAGATTGTAAATAAAAATCACTAGCTTAAGAACTTCAATGCATGGAGTGTGTGTAGAAAATAAAATGTGCAAGAAAAAACAAATAAGGTTAAAATAATGTGAAAAGATACACACCTCCTGATATTTTTTTCATTCGTGCTAGTGAATCCATAAAGGTGCTTAATTGAAAAAAGAAAGGGGGCTCTGTTATATATGGTGTATGACAAGTGAATGAGTTGAGAAGAAATTGAGCTTGATTTTTGAGTGTAGTGTACTAAAGTTCTTAGGAGGGTTAGTCACTATTCCTAAATATATCCTACCCGTCCCTTACCCTACATTACAACCTTAAAGTCCTAATTGATCCTAGATTTGGCTAGCTTAGATTAGTAGAGATATACACTACGGGCAAGCTTATGGTACGACCACGGAATGCACATGAATTCTTTGTGAGAGTGAGTGAATGTTGTTCAATTGTGTGATGTCCTTAATTTAGTTCAATGACATATTTGAATGTGTGGACTACTTTGATAATCACTCTTTGGTTTGTGGTGAGGGCACTTGGTCTCATGATGGATTGGTGATGTTGTACACTTTCTTTTGTTGGGTGAGTGTGTAACTTGAAGATACTTAGTGTAACGAGTCATCTCTTGAGGTAAGGTGGATGTGGAGAGGTTGCTTGAGTTGGTTGAATAGTAATGTATATACTTGGGCTAATGTGAAAACGGGAAGAATGTGATATTTGTGTTTTCATACTTAATTGCCGATATCGATCATAGTCCACAGGTAGGGTGTTTGAGTGAATTAATTGTGAAGTGTTCTTTCATAGTGATAAGTATGTTTTGGGGGATTGATTTAGTTCCATTGCTCGAGGACGAGCAAGAGTCTAAGTGTGGGGTGTTGATAATCGGCATAAAGTATGTATATTTTGATATATATATCGCCTCGCATTGTGCTCTTGTTTCGATGATTTGAGAAGTTTAATATGATGATTTTTGCTAAATTTTGGTGTTTCAATGTGTAGGAATCATTCGGATGCAATTTGGGACGAAAGGACGCGAATTCGAGCGAAATCGGAGCAAAAAGGCAAAAAGTCAATTTTGAGGGCCACAGCCAACGTGGGGCGCTGGCTGTGGCGCTGTTTCCAGAACTCACAGATTTTGAGCGCCAGGGCCAGCGCCCCATGCTGCCCTGGACGCTCGGGTCGCTAGAGTGTCCTATTCCGACTTGGACTCGGTTAGTTTCACCCCAAGACGCCTCCAATTGATATAAAAGCCACCCTAAAACCTATTTTGGGGGGAGAACATGATTTTGAGAGAGAAAACAAAGGAGCAAAACACTTGGGAGCACGGATTTGAGCAATTCTTCCATCCCTTTTCTAGTACTCATTGATTTTATATTTAAAAACATTATTTTTGATGATTGTATGAACATGAGTGGGTAAGAACCCTATTGTTCTAGGGTCATGGGTAAAACATGAATGTTGTTGTT